ACGTCATCGTTATAACACTACCGACACTGAACCCGTCGTTACAACAGGGTGGTTGCATATGAAGTGGAGGATGCGTATGGCGTTCTTAGCCTTAGGGTCCCACCTGTCAGCTTCGTCAATTGTACATCGAGGAAGGATAACTGGTTGTTGACCTCCTCTTGCATGGTAAACTGGATGTCCGGAAAAAATAGAATTCAACGGTGCCTCGAAGGTCTGCACTTTGCTCTTTTTGATAACGATGAAAGTGTCATCGACCTACTTGGCCTAAAACTTCGGATGAGACGAGTTGAAGACAAAGCGCTCGAGCCTCTGCCAGACAGCTTCGGCAATAAGGCCAGACAGAGGCGAGCCCATCGGTGTCCCCTTCTTTTTTCTCATAAACTTGGACATTGAACGTGAAGAAAGTTTCGGGCACAGTTGCAGAAGCTCGATTCTGTGCTCTGGCTTGCGTTTTTGATTGGTTTCATCGCATTTCTCTCGGAGAAAACCATCAATAGAAAGGAATAGCCAGACTGGATGGAATAGATTTGAACAGCGAGATCACATCACACAATACCATAACCCCGTCTGCCCATGGCCAACAAATGACAGCCTGGTCACGTCCGCACACTGTGTGTACGTGCATGACTAGTCTTCCGTGAAAAAGCCAAGAAACATACTCGTATAGCAGAACACGTCAGTGCCCAGTCATTCATTACTGCGTTTGGCTCTCTTTTGGCGCCAAGCTCGATCATCGCCTGCATAAACAAATCATGAGGTGGACATATAAATCCACGCCTGTCCAGCTTGCACAGGACACAGCTAACTATTCGCTCTGACAACGATGCCCTCGAGAACACTACTCATCACCCTGTTGGTCCTGGCGTCGGTGATCTTCCTATCCAGAGTCCATCCCAAAGGACAGAAAGAGGTTGAGCTCAAGGAAACGAAGAACATGCTCGTAGAAGAAGATTATAATGATCTCCTGGAAAGTGCACTGGCAGAAAGTGACATACCAGAGGACGTGGAGACGCCTGCAGAAATTAATAATGAGGAGAGCATAACATTTCTGAGGACTGCTGAACCTGAGTGGTGGAGAAGGTTCCGTGAAAGAGTCCGTTCGACTGCCAAGCGAGTTAAGATGAGCGTCAGACGAGCTTGGGAGGACGGTAAACTCTTTACGCCCCTGATAGTACACACCGTGCTTCGTATACCTGTTGCCTAACTGTTTGTTTACTGGTTTGTGCCGCCTTCTTCTCCTATCTCCATTCACATGTAACTATTTTTATAAATAAATTGCTTGGCCTAAACCAATTTTTATCCTCGTTTTTTTATTTAAGCTACAGTATTGAGGTCGTGGCTATACTCAATGTACGTATAGCACGTAACCCAACGTAGGATATCACAATGACCACGAACAATAAGTCTTGAAAGTTAGGTAAAATATTACGAAAATTGTTACAACCTCCAGTCCTAGCAGCGTCGTCAGTGCATTCCAACACTAGAGACAATCAAGGAAATTGGAGGCGAGAATGTTAAAGGTCACAAGTACCCCGGGACCGCTACTGCACCCCCCGGCTGAACCGAAGGTGGCGTAAAGAAACGATGCCAAAGCAAAATATAGAAATCTAAAAATGATGAGGCAGAAGTCGGTCAGGAAAGTGAACGTGGCGTCCACTGCAGGTAATGTATGCAGAAAGTGCAGGGCAAGAGTGAATTGTGGCAGGAATGTTGGAGGTCACTGTAGGAGGAATAACTGTATACAGCAGTGGAGATGGGGAAAGAGGTATCAGACGGGACGGACGGATAGAGGGTGTGGGAGCAGGGGAAATGAGACCACAATGGTCCACGCCCTCGACCTCCTCTCCTGTTCCGCGAAGAATGCGGAAGGTTTTCTCACTTCAAGAAACAACCCGGAACGAGCCATCAGGGGGTGGGGGGGGTTCCAGCAACCGGCGAACTCTATCATATCGTAAAAGGACATTAGCGCAGGTCACTAAGTGTTTTTCGAGATGAGACTTAAACGATGGCGGTCTTGAGCCGAACTGGGGAAGGCGTCCGCACAAACTGCCGGAGGCGAAGCAGGAGGTTCGCATACTCCCCGACCACACCTGGGGGGATGGCGAAATCATGTCGCCAGGAAGTCGGACAGGGGCGCCAAACACCAGTTCAGCGGTGGAA